AATCATTCCCAGAGCCCCATACCACCGTTTGACCATACCTAGAGAGGTATCTTTGGCTGTATAAGGAAAAGATTTGGCTAGCTAAACATGAGCCTGTGGCTGAGCAAGTGAGCACTGGTTTCTGCATCAAGTTCCTGCTTGTGTTCTTGCCTAGATTTCCCTTAATAATGGACCTTGACCTGGAAGTGCAATCATTTCCTCCTCTAAGTTGCTTTGGGTTAGCATCTCATCAAAGGAACGAGAATGCAGTTAGAACAGACACACATTGCCTGAGTAAAGTTCCAGAACAATGAGGTATCTTTGAGAGCTATGGTTCTGACCAAATTAACAACAGATTCTATAATGAAATGCAAAACTGAAACAGACTTCAGAAGAAAGTAACCCTAAATACAAGCCCCGAGCATACGCTCACTAACCTTTGACACATAAACACCAACACCACTGTAAAATTTATTTTTACTTTATTAGCAATGTGGCATCCGTGTTTTCAAGTAAAAAGGGTTTTTTCCATTTAGAATAAAAATTAAAATATAACTCTGATATATATTTTCCTTTATGTACATGGAAACATATATACAGAATACAATCTTACAGCAAACTGAGAGAGCATGCCCTTTGTCCTTTAAACTTCAAATGTAAAGACACTGATTTTTTTCTTTTATGCACCAATACACAAGATATGAACCAAATTTCAATACAAACTTTTCAAAGTGGAACATGAGAGGTAAAGGGCTCCTGCCATTAGTGACTAGGGTTCTCTCTGCTTACAGAGATGATGTTAGCTTGCATTCTGGATGACAGGTAAGATGTTCACTTTTTCTTTTATTGAAATTTAAAAAAAAAAACCCTTCCCACAGTTTTCATAACATAGCATCTTTTTTAGCAAAAGATTGTTCTAAAACTTTCCTTCTTCAGTGCTCTTCTTTGTCCCACCCAAAGTACTGCTCTGCCTCGGTTCTGTGACATGGCCTACATCTCCTTGGTACTGAGTCTTAGTCATCAAAAAAAAAAACTGAACAAGGATGTGTATAGTTCAAAAAACTGAATCATTATTCATCATTTCAACCACAAAGGCTTTTAAAACCGAAACCCAAGGAGAGCAGGCAGAACAGCAGTTATGAATTTTCAGCAAATTAAATGGGTTACGAATACCACAATTTTGTTCTGCCATAGCATAGTTTGGATACCTGCAAACCACCCTAGTTTTAAAAGGCTATGAGAATTATGCAATTTAAGAAGTTAATCTGATTAAAGAGAGTGGTTTTCAGAAAATTTGCGAACAGAAAGCAATAGCGAGCAAGTAGAAGAATTAGGTTGTATGGTTGCCAGTTCAGCTCCTCCTTCCTATTTAATTATTGCACCAAAGAGACACAAGCAGTAGATGTCCCCAGAGACTTCTGGCATAAACACTACAGCTATCTTAATTTACATTTTCTCCTTCCAAATAATTGCACACTCAATCACAGCTCTCTCAAGACAGGATAGAGAGCAACTGGAGCCTAGACTCAATATCTTAACCCAAAAACAGCAATGTCAAACCACAACGAAGATCCTGATGCTGATCTGTACTGATTCTTTACACAGAAATGAATACAAATGGATGGCATACAAAATAAGTACGAAAATCCTGAGTGCTTCCAAAACTCAGGGACAAACCTCAGGAAGCAGTATTCGGTGTAAGATAGAAGACAAAGCCAATATTTGCCTCATACAGCACTCAAAATTCTATGGCATAGATTAGGAGGGACCCATCTTCAAAAGGCTGATCAAAAGGAACCATCTAAAGATGGCAGTGAAGGTCAGCTGTGGCAGTGTTAAAGTATGGATCATTTTAATTTATTGAGGACCAAATCAAAGCAAGCATGGGAAATGATCTTTTGAATATGATCAAATAAGGTCTAGGGACTCAAATAGCTATAGAGCTCAAATGCTGTCTGTGAGTCAAACTCTGATCAAAGACATCTAATTTTAAAAGTGACAGACCAGTTCTCCGTGCTCTAGATTAGAAACTGTGGTGAAGGATACCATTGTTGAATAACAAAGATATGCAATGCCAGTATAGCCTGCTTTGATCAGGGTGTGTTTTATTTGGTGGCCAGGATCCCTTTTTTTTTTATTATAACTATACAGTACAAATATACTATGGAAATTGTGGGTGGAAACAAACTCCCTATGTTTTAAGGTGGGCAGTAAGTGACAGACTGTCATTATTTAAGTTCAGGTGGCATTTCTATTCCTCAGTCCCATGACATGGACTGTGTGATGTCTGCTCAGCTGGTTACAGGAGGCCATGAATGGAGTGATGTGACCAAGGTGTAGGTACATGGAGGAGAGGATGTTGGTCCCAGAAGATAATCAGAGATAAGGAAATGACACCATCAAGAAGAGATGAGGCAAAGACATAATTTCAAGGTATTTAGGGCAGAATATTTTTGGTATATGTGTATAAAATCCATTTATTTCTTCCCAATCATTCTTGGAAATCAACTCTATGTTTCAGACAAAAGCAGTGAGAAGCAAGTCTAGAGAGAAACAAAATCCACATTACAATCTGGTGGCAAAGTTGCATTCCGTCCGTGAGCATGCCATCCTGGGATCAAAGCTCTGGAGGACACTGGCACCTCTCCAAGAAAAATCATCCTCTTTGGTCATCAAAATACTTCAAGTCTACTGGGGGGATGGTGGCTTGCATGTTAACAGCCACTATGATTACAGTGGCCTCTGGTTGGGCACTCTTGTGGTAAGATTACTGTCATTTCTTCCTTGCCAAAGCTAAAGTTTAGGCTGGAAGAAGCGACACTGCAGAGAGAGACAGATGCTAAACTGCAAGGCTGATGCATGAAGAGAGGCTGGGATACTTGGTTCCATAGGAAGAAGGGTTTCTGAAACAATGGTGGACATGTCCTGACAGGATTTTCTGTTAATTCTTTTCTGGCTCTTTCTGTGAGCTGATCAGACCTCTAGGAAATCCCCATGTTCTGAGGCAACACACCTCCTCCTCTGTGTCATTACTGGAAATGGCATGAGAAGGCCACATTTGTTCTGAAAGCATACCATGTTCTAGCAATACCATAGCCGCATCCCGTTTCAGATGCAAAAGAAATAGCTCATCTTGAAAAGACCACAGTGAGGGATCAAGGAGGAGGAGAAATGCCACCCTATCTTGAAATAGATACCCTTTCCAACCGATAGATTGAGTATTTATGGCCAAAAGTATGTGGCTAAGAAGGCAGACAAATCGAGGAAGGTTCAACATGTAGCTTAGAAAAGAGAAATCCAACACAAACCCCATCAGGGGCAGCTCCATCCTTACAGCTCCACACAGGACACAGTCCAAACACCTAGACATACCCATTTACCAAAGGTCTACAGCTTGACCATAGAAAAAACAGCTCCAGGGAAAACTAAAGAGTCTCAACCACAAATAATTCACTTTCTAATTCTATCTGCAACCAGTGTCGAGAATGGGTAACCAGCATATGCAACCAGAGTTTTGAAAACCTGATGGACTACCATGCCTTAAAACTCTGCCAAAACACAAGCAGCTCTCAGTTTGTTATTCCATGCTCTGGGGCAGTTGTGATTCTAGTCAAAGAAGAAAAATGAATGTAATTATGAAAAACAATATATGGAAAGCCACAAAGTAAACCAGTAAGGCCCAGATAGGTGGGAAGTTAAGCTTCCAAAGTGAGGCACTCCTAAGCAGAGCAAAAGTTTGGTTTCTTTGTCTGGTTTTCAAAAGACATGGAGGTGACCTCCACACTATAATGTACCTTGGCCCCTTTGGGTTTCCAAGCACATGTTGAACTGCTCATAGGAAAACCCAGATGAGAGCTGGATATCAGCCAAATTTTACAATCACTGATTAGTCTATGAATGACTTAGTGAAATTTGATAAACAACCCCAAAGAGAGTGAAAGGTAGAAACTGGAGGGTTAAATTCTGTGGCCACACTTTTTGTCATTTTGGTCTACCTAGACTCCTCTCTAGCAAGAGCAGAGAGAAGGCATACTCAATGCTTCACTACTAAAGGTCCTGACTTTCCCCTCAATGGGAACTTGGAACTTGTGGAGTTACCCAAGGACATGAAGTTGGCCATTAGCCAATGGATGGAAACCAACTGGATCCAGATCCAGTATTTGCTCGGCTGTCTTATGCTATGGAATACTGCTCCCCTCTGCTTGCTTTCCATGTGGCAAGCCAGGCACTAGCAGAAGAGAGGCTCAGAAGGACACAGTTAGTTCATGAAAATGCTTGTCCCAAAATCTTGTCCTATACTTGACCCCTGAAAGCTTCTCTTCAATACAGAATTTGATACTTCCCTAAAGCAGCCTCCTCCTGACAGGTCACAGTGATCTTAGAACATTGAAGCTATAGGTCTGCAGGAGACTACAGAGAGTGTTTGCTACTCTAAATGCTCTAGGCTTTGCTCACAGGGTAGCTGTTTCATGGCAAGCCGCCATACTTGAGAAAAGGCACCTCTGACAGAGGACGGAGCTGAACAGAGCCCAGAGTTGTGTGGGAGAATGGAGGTTAAGTGAGATCACGTGGAATAGGTGACTGTAAATCACGGCAGCTCGCATGTGTGTGGCAGACAGAGTTGCAAGAGACTTTGAGACTGAGTCAGGCAAAAGCGGTAGCAAGATGGGTCTCCCAAGAACCTAGACCTCAGTGAAGGAAACCTGACTTCCAGAAAACTGCCAGGTTTGAGCAGAAGAAAAAAAAAAAAAAGGAAACTCAGAGGTCCTGAGGCAGGGAAGGTCTGTCTCAGAACTTTCACAATACTCTCAGAGCTGCTGGTGCTCCTTCCATGTGCTTTAAAAACATAGGACTATCAAATAGGCTGGTGCAAAAAGGAGGTCCTGGGCTTGTGGCTTTTTGGAGATCACCAATGATTGTGCCATTTCACAAAGCCCAGGAAATCAAGGTCTCAGTTCTGGAAACTTTTACAACAAACACAGCAATATCAGAATCAGGCGACACCTGCCAAGAAGGGAGAGTTAGTTGGCATACTGAGCATAGAAAGCCACCTTCACTCTCTCGATCTGATGGCATAACTTGATAGCAGGTCCCAGCTTCAGCTCCATGCACTCCTGCACTGTTGGGAGAGTCAGCAGGAGGAGTGCCTGGCCATCGATGTCCTGACAGAAGAGAAAGCCATGTTAGACACAAAGTAGAATATACTTGGAAGATGTGTTTGTCTTGTCAAGCTTTATCCTGGAGCTAAATCTTTTTAAAAACCTGTTCTTTCTGTTTTTAAACTTGTGAGCATATTATCACAAGTAACAATTAGCTTGATGACTACTGAATGCTTGCGTTAATAAAATTTTGTGTGTGTGTGTGTGTGTGTGTGTGTGTGTGTGTGTGTGTAGAGGTCAGAGGAAATCTTTGGGTGTTTGTCCACACTCCCTACCTTGTTTGAGGCAGGTTATCCCAGGCAGGTTAGCTGGCCTGTAATTCTGTCTCTGCCTTACATCTCCTCCCAGGAGTGTGCTCGGATTACAAATGCATGTACACTATTATCCCTGGCTTTTTATTGGTTTTGGGGATACAAACTTGGGTCATCAGTTTGCAAGGCTCTACCCATTGATCTCCTACCCCGATAAAATATTTTTTTGCTAAGAACATTTTAGCTCCTCTGGAATTCCTGAGCTTTTCCTGGTGGATACAGGCAATGGAACAGTTAGGATGTTCTGGAAGTTGTTTCCCAGGTTTACTATCCTGTTCTGGGACAGCAACTTCTTAGTTCCAAGTCAGGTCCTTCTATGCTAATCTGAATACCAGAAAAGAGATGGACACCAAAAAATACTAACTCTTACTGCTTTGTACAGTCTGATATTTTATCACCAGGATAGGTGATAAGGCCCCAAAGAGAGAGATGTCAACTACATACTATGATTTTCCAAAGGAAAACACATACATGTGTGTGTGTATACAGACAGACAAACAGGCACGCAGACAAACAGAGATACACTATGACGTAAGGGCTATACCTACCTTGCTCCAGTGTTCTCATTGCTACCTAGCAATAAAGACTGCCCAGTGTATACCACCACTGCTACATGTGCCATGCCCTAAACCATTTTTATTGCTCATAGAATCATAACATAGTATATTCAAATGAAACCCAAGGCAGTGTCATATGGCAATTCAACACCCCTAAAAAACATCTTTAGAAGAAAATCTTTTACATTAGAAGCTACCCTCCAAAACTATTAGAGCTAAAGAATCTTCCAGATATATAAGAAATATCATGTATATACATAAAAAGTATGAAAAAATGAAAACTACACGGTGCCTTCAGAGGAATCCGCTAGCAAGCAACAGACCCCTAAAGAAATGCACAAAATGCCTACATTCAAAAGAATGGCTCCACGGAAGCTAAAGGAGATACAAGAGAGGAGGCCGGGTCCTAGTAGGAATGATGAATTTAGCCAAGTGATCAAGATTGGGATAAAGAACCAAAGCAAAACCCAGGAGCTAAAGAATTGAGTGAACCAGCCCCAGACAGCAGCAGAAGCCTCAGCAAGCAGACAGGAAGAGCTCTCAACTTGAAGAGAAATTTTTTGACATAACATATTCAGACACAGAGGAGTAGAAGGGAAAAATAAGCAGTCAAGTAAGCAGTAAGAGATTCCACAAAATGAATGAATATTCAAATGAATGTCTTAGAAAGGAAGGGTGGGACCCCAAAAATCTAACTGATGAAATAACAGCACTAAACAACTGAGATCTTAAGAAATATGGACATTCGGGGCTGGGAGGCTCAGAAAAACTGGACAAATACATAGTAAGGTGAGAGGACCCACGAGAAAGACAGAATTCCAAAAGAGTAAGAGAAAGGTGCTGAGTTACATATTAGGGGATCCTCATGAGATAACAGATTTCTCAGCAGACATCTCCACAGTCAGGAGGGAATGCCACATTAAAAGTTCCAAAAGAATGAGCACAAGTCTGCCCAGAGCTCTACAGCAAGACCTAACCTAAAAATAAATAAATAAATAAATAAACAACTTAAAGACACCTTCTGAAAGAGATATCTAATCACCAGATTAGATCTCCAAAACTTCCCACGTGACCATCGTGAAAACACACTCACACCTGTGCACATACACACACAATCATCAGAGTGAGTTGCACTTGGGTTCAGGACTGGTTTCTCCTTGTTCTACTACACCTTGCTATATCTATACAACAGGTGGTATATTATGATAATATCCATTAAGTGACTGTTAAATCTGCTATGGGAAGGAGGACACAAAAATGCACTCCAAAGCCCTGGGCATTCTGTTAATGTGTGTCTCCACCAGCTCACTTCCTATAGCAGGCTGGTTTGTTCCTGTAGATGCCTTTTAATTGTGTAGCTGAGCTTAACTGTAATCTACTCTTGCTATTTCCCAGTGCAGGCTTCCTATTTCAGTGGGAATAATTGAGAATAAGAGAGATCAGAGGCTTGAAGTGGTGCTGAGTCAGTGGTGAACTGAACTCAGAATAGCAGAATTTCAGCCATGTGAAATTTTACACTCCTGACTCTCATGAACCACAAGGACTCAATAGCCATTCACCATTGCCTAGGTATGCATTATAGAAATCACCCATCAACACACTTCATAGAGATCTTCCTATCTTAAAGAAATTTTTTTTTCCTAAAGCTCTAATAGCACAGATACCTAAGTATGAAAAGAATGTAGCTGTGAGAACAGCAGTGTCAGGAGAAGTATCACTTATCATCTAAGGACTGCCAGCAAGAGCAAGGGGCTTATTACCCCATCAGATCCCATATCCGAAATATTACATGATAAATACAGCAACAGGAAAATCACACCCACTTAAAATATCACCAAGAATGCTGCTTACTACTTTTAAATTATAAAAGAGCATTGGGTGTACTGAAAATAAGCCACGTTTCAATAAAGACACATGTGACCTTATCAAAACTCAAAAATGAGTTGATCTCTCTTTTATGCAGCCATAAAGAAAATGAATGAAACATCTGTGTGTTTCCACGTTGCATATGAAACGTGACCTCCCCTTTTCCTATATTGTTCTACCAGGTCACTTTACTCTTCTGAGGCCGCTATTTAGAAGGATGACAGTAGCTTGAGAAACAGGAAGTGCTAAGGTGCAGATCACCTAACACTTGAAGCCATGAAGCCAACGGGGTGCTCACTGATTTTGAAGGGAGTATCAAGTAAGAGATGTTAATAGCTGGTTTGTGTTCCTAGTTCTACCTTCAACACTTCAAACAACAACAACAGCAAAAATGAAAACCAACTGCCTTTCATACAGACAATAGTTCCAGATCACCTAACACTTGAAGAAACCTACCCCACATTTAAATCTTTTTCCAAAAGACTTTTTCTTTAACTATAGGAAAGAGTTGGTGGAATATCTGTTGAGCATAAATGTAAAGTTTATAAAGTTTTAAGACCATCGACTTCCTAACAGCCAATGTGGCCCTACTGGGTGCCTTAAATCACCCCCAAAAGACATACCAATTTCTACACTGCCAGAGTGTGGCTCATTTCAAAAATCTGTTCCTTGAACATCAACCATTTGCCACTTGAAATAAATATACTGTACAAGCAACCATCCACACATGCAGGCAGTAGCACAGTGATCACATCGAGCAAAGCCTCAGCTCACTAAGAGGGGTACCACCATGACAGAGACCATCCAGCAGGTACTTGACTGACCTGCATGCAATGTTGAGCACACAAACATCCTATGAAGGCAGAGATGTTCAACACAGGCGTGAAATAATAAAGTTAGTCCTGGAGACTAAATAAGAACTGTTCCACTACTTTCCAGATTTGCTTTAAACTGTAAGCTCATACCTGCCCGTGACACCCTTTTCCTTTGGTCTGGACAACTCATTTTGTCTGTGTACTTTGTTCAAATCAACCCCAAGTTTAAAGGGAGGGGTCTGTTCTAAGGCTGTTACTGGAAGGGGGAGGAGAGTGTATACTTCCTGGTCTGACTTACAAGCTGGGCAGCCTGGAGCAGAAGCAGAAAGAGAACACATGTTCGAAGCTCTTGCTCAAGAGCCTGCTTACCTGAGTTGTACACAGAAGCTAAGTTTTCATCCCTGGCACGGACAGCTGCATGAAGCTCTAGTTACAGGCTAACTCATCAATTCTAACCAGTATGACTAATTAAGAGACCCTTCACTCTGCTATTTTGCTTAGAAAAATTAATTTAAAAATTATACCCAAGACCTAAAGGTGGGGGATGCTTAAAACTACTACTGCAGCTTGCCCATATAAGCATCTGGGACATTGGCACTTTCTTCCAGCTTTGTATTCAGTCAGCTTTTCCCGAAGCACCACACACAAGGAGGTTACTCTAAATTGCAGGAGAATGAGGACTTGTTTTGCATATGGTTGGCTATAAAGACATCTGTATCTACAGCATCCTCTTCTAACATTTAATTTTTTGAGGATTTTATACATAAGAACTATATGTACACCATTTTTACTCTTCTTCCCACTCCAATACCTGCTGTTAGCAGTCCTCTCTAGACTCTCTAGTCCTAGGCATGATGAAGGCATGTGACTGTTTCCCCCAACGGCTGACATGCTGAAAGGCAAGAGTATGGAGGAGAACAAGTCAGGTAGCAATTGGGAAATTGTCAGTTAAGGCAATGACGGTATACATTGGAGTTCCCAGTGTGTAAGATTTGAACAGAAGTTTGACTCAGAAGTTCTGAGTCATGTGTATGGGGAACTGTAGGCTGAATCCTGCTGTTTGGCTAAACTGACACACTGTTGTGCTGCCTTTTATGTATGTGTTTCTACACATACATGAATGCTGCTCCCAGCTTCAATTGGAGAAGCGGACAGAGGTGGACAGCGGTGAATGCAGAGACTCATGGCTATTCAAGATGCTGAGAAGATGCACAGGTGAGGGCTCAGTCGCAGACAAGTCATTCAAACTATCCTTTCGAAAGTATCTTCTGGGCAAGGCACAGTCACTGCAACCTTGAACTCACAGTAGCTGTGGATTCTTGCACCAGGACTGTAGAAGGACTGGCCCCTCCACTGTCAGACATGGATGGAGGAAAGCCCCCACCGTGACTCTACTGCTTACTGCCTAACTATTTACTACTGACAGACTCAGAGAGAATGGAAATCAGAAATTA